GGCAGCAACCGGCAAAGCAATAAACCTCCTTTGCTCCGTGCCAGCAGCACGGGCCACTATCCGTTATTACGAAATACTTTACGTATCTCCTCGACGTTTTTATTACCGAGCCGCAAAACCGACGAGGCCATAGGGTGTACGAGCGAAAGCTCTCCCTGTACTATCGTAGCAATGGCATACGGAGACGCGACTGGTCCTGTCGATAGAAAGAGAAACAGGCTGTGTGTGCGTTTGCAATTCGATTCGAGAGTATCCATTTGCCCTTTCCATTGACCAACAATTTTTTTTTGCATACTCTTGTAAAACTCTTTCTCTTTTTATCTTGATTATTCAAGTTTCTTATTTTGTTAAATGAAATCAAACTTTTCACAGTTTCTCGTTTTATACTTTGAATGGCTCGAAACATGCTAACAATCGCAATTGTCTATATGTAGGTATGTATGTCTATATATATGTAGGCATATATGTGGATATATATATATATATATATATATATATATATATATGTTGCAAGCCGAACTACAAATATTTACTTAAGCGTAATTACTCGCAATAGCTAACCTCTTCGTGAAGGCTCGCAGGGGTATAGAGTTAGAGAAAGGGATTGGACAAGAGACGCAAGCAATACGAGAGAAAGATTTAACGAAGCCGCGTACAATATTAATAATCGTACGGTGTTATAATGTTTGTCGGTACATCGAAGCTGTATGTATGTATGTATGCGTGTATAAATGATGGAAGAAATCTTCGGTTTTACATAAAGCAAGCTGATTGAACGACCCGCGATAGTTTCATAAGGGCGTACAATTTTCGAGAGCAAAGAGAGCTTGAAGTTGGTAGGAGAACGGTGCTGAAAAAAAAGAAAAAGCAGAGAGAGAAGGGGGGGATGGGTAAAATGAAAGGAGAGAAGAGGGAAATATTATGACTCGAAGCAGCAGGGGACTGTAATGGATCGTTGCGAACTGCGCACGAGCGTCCAGTCGGCAGTTCCACTTTATAAATCACCACCTGTATTTACGCCCTGAAAAATCGGCTCCAAGGGGGTAAAATGGTCCTGAAGGGACGGAGATTTCGAGAAGGTTGGATGTTTGTTCGAGAAAGCAGACTGAAATCTTCTTTCTCTTTTCGTTAAGTCATTTTTGTTTATCGATAGTAATGAATAGATAAATACTTATTAACAAGATATATATTTTCAGAAAATGTATTAGTTAAATTTGTAGGATATTTTACTCGGTCCGTTTGTTTTTTTTCTTTTTTGTTTTTGTTATACAATTACGAGCTCCTTTTAGATTTATATACGGCAGGATAATTTTGAAAGATCTAATCAAATCTTTTTTTACGCGCGTATACAAATACGTTATATAAAAATGTCTGTAGACATTTCGAGAGTACGCATATATCAAAAGAAAAGAGATCTTTCGCCGAGTGGAAAAAACATCGGTCATTATTCGAAGGAGCTTTTAAGGCGAGCTCTACCTTACATGATTAAGAAATCCGGTCTCTCTTTGGGTGGCTCTTACTTAACTCAAAGTTTCCTCCCAGACTTAAAGCGTTTAATCTTCCTTCGAGCGCGAAGCTCTCGTACGCGAGCTCGTACCGACTCCATGGACATTGATGCATGATGCATTCGGGATCGTTGCTTCGTTTGAATGCCGTTGCTTTCTTTCTCGTATTCTCGAATTTGTTAGCGCAAGCACTTGAAGAGCTAAGTGCGGCGACACACGTACACGGGGGCGGCTCTCAGAAACTTTGCAATTTCCTCTAGTTCTTAGGAAGCTACTTTATTATTTATTTTTCATTCGAAATCTTCGCGCCGATGTTATATGTTCATTCGCATTTATTTAGTATAAATATAATATATCCGACGTAGAGGCGGATAAATCGTATAATATAGCTTAAAGAGCGGTATATAAACGTTCACGATGACGGTTTTCGAAGTAATCAGCAACAAGAGGACATCGATATTACTACCTGACACCGAATTGGTAATGAAATAATCAACGAAATTAGAATGCGCCGCGGTCCCGACGTAATTAGGGAGGAACCGCAACGCGATTCAAACGCGATCTCCGAGTTGACGAGGAGAAGTCCTTTGGTATTTCGCTCACGCATCGCAGTCTATTAGTTAATTATCCCACACGACATAGCTTATCTTGATAGAACGAGTCGTGGTTGAGCTTTACTAGAGAGCTACAATCTGCTCTTTCGATAGGATAACAAGAGTGGGAGATGGAGATAGAGATGGATAGATAGATGAAAATAGAGAGAGAAAGAGAGTGAGAGAGGGAGAGAGAGAGAGGGAGAAACAATTGCGCATGTTCGCTTCGCCAGCAGAATTCGACAAATGCGCTTCGTCCACAAACAATGGTCGAAACAACAAATTCGACTGCATGCGTGCGTGCGCGCAAGAGAAACATCGTCGCAGGAATACCAGAGCTGATTAGTATACGTAAAGCCTCTATGAGAATGCCGATAGTTGTGGTATGCCTTTGTGTACTCGGTTTACCTGGATTTTATAGCCAAATTATCAATAATCTCTTCGTAACGATAACTAACAGTGGATTCTGTAGTCGCAATTAGAACAGCACCGATAAAATTTGTTCGCGCTTTGTTATTAGAATTGCTATTCCCTTTAGAGATTCAACTTGATCCGATGTATACTAGATGCTTGTAAATATTTATTCTCGGATATACAATCTAGGATTGTAATTGTCGTCGATGTTTAAAAAAAATTTTGGGAAAATAATCGATCTTCGAAGGATCATCTTCCGCGAGGACTAATCAAAAAAAGCCTTCTATCATCGAATAACTTTCTTCTCTCGTTAGCTCTCGAAGTAATAAACTCAACATCTTACGCGATATTCGTCTTCGGTCGTGTTCGTTCGAAAGAAATCCAGGGAGAAGGAAAACGATGGATGCTGGCACGTTTCTTCTTCGCATAGTCGAAGAGGAAAAAGAGGAGAATAACTGGTAAGGTGGTAGAAAAGGAATTGCTCTAGTGGTGTCAGCACCTCTCTGTCTCTCTCTCTCTCTCTCTCTATTTCTCGATTCTTTGTCGTCCTTTCGGGGAGCTCTTACAAAATTACCGAAGCGCTTTGTTCGTTTGTTCGTACAGCGAGCAGATCGCCCTTAGCCAAGGATCGTCAGGGCATTAAGATAAAGTGGATTCAATATCTGCACGTTGCTAAGAACTTAATTTAAATCCGTAGGAATATTTTATGGGATACAATATCGATTTACTTTGTGTTAGGGATCTCGATCGAGTTATCTCGTTAAAGCAACGTCCGCGAGGAGTACGACTTTTGTCTCGTTTTTTCACTTTGCCAACGTGAGATTGTCTCTTTGAAATAAATTCGATGTAAACTAATAATCTGATCTTTTCGAAAAGTTCTTTATAATCCTCTTCCCCCTGAGAAATATGTGTTTTTCTTCCCTTTTCCATCGTTTGTCTGGAATTTGTCGCAAAACGATCTTCGCAGGAGACGATCGTAGAGATCCAATGTATCCAATGTAGCCAATTTTCCAAGTAATACCGCTAACGTCGCAACAAGTTAATCTCACGAGCGTGATCAAGGGACTTTGGTTTAAGCGAAACGTGAATTTATCCTTGATATCGCGAACACACGCGATACAAATTTTAAACGTATGTTTGATAAGGTTGAAGGATATCGCAAAGATCGGCAGATCATTAGGAAAACGCGCTATTATCCTTCCCAAATAATTGTTGGCTGAACGCGAGGCATTCGGAAGGACACGGATACAAACATTCTATATCTACTGTAGGACGTTGGGAAGAGGTGGAAAAGGGGCGCGAGAGAGGAGAAAGGTAGCTCGACGCACCATAAATATAGATAGTCCGTAGTACCAGAGGCGGTGCTACCCCCCGATAAGGGTTGTATAAGAGAGCGTAGATAACGAGCGACTCCGAGTAATTGAGGCTGAAGCCGAATTAGTTAGAAACAGCAAACGTATTAGTTCGAAACGGGAATCGGTTCCTTCGTCGAGCGACTACGCGATAATATCGACGAAATACGAGAATATCCATATGAGTCGAGAGAAGTTTCGAGGAATTTCCATTTTCCTCCACGAGAAAGTTGTGGGGCGCGAAAACTTTTATTTAAGATCACCCGGTATTACGTTAGATTTTCGACATCGCATTAACGATATTCGCTGTCAGTTATTTTTGTAGGGAAGACAAATGAAGCACCCTATAGTAATGAGAATTAAGGATTCGTTCCCACGGAAAGTTTGCATTCGAAGCCACTCGCTCGTTTACATTGTTCCCGATATTCAATTACAAGGCTTCCAACCGTAATCGCGTGAAGGAAGTTAAAGAAACTTTTAATGGTTTGCGATGGCGCGCGGTGCTCCGTCAAAGCTCAGTTACGATCGGCAATTGAATTTCCCTGCGGCGCGGTCGCTCGTCCATGGACCATCCAGCACCTCCCTATCTCTTTCTACACATACGTGCGTGCGTGCGTGCGTGCGTGCGTGTGCTTTTTCCCAATCTATGCTCGGACGACAAAAATACCGACTCTTGATCGTTTTCCAAAATATGTTCCGAGAGCTATTCGGCAGGCCTCGTGTAATCGATTAGAGTTAATGTTCCCACGAACCGCCGAGAAACAAAGGTTCGAGAGAGATCAATCGACAAGTACGTAAATACGAATTCAAAAAACCCCGAAATCGAGACAGATCTTTATTTATTTATAGGTAAAACCGATAAAATCGATTTGCAACTTTGATTGCTTGCAATTTGTTTTGTGCCGAAACTGTAATCCCTGTCAAAATTATTTAGCTTATATTTGCTAAAGGAACCTCTTATCGTTTTCCTGCCTTATTATTATTATTAACAAAGTTAATCGATCATTATGATTTAATAAATATCAGCAAATGAGAGATTTCTAAGGAAATTGAGAAAGGGCCGATCGATCGAACCGACAGTGAAAAGAGTTGAACAGAGAGAAACAACGTACGTACCTGTATAACTACTTACCTACCTGTGTTTATTTCAGCCCGCGTTGACAGGTGTGGCGCCGCCGCGCGGCTATTGATTGGTGCCCAGTCTCCCCACCACGGCTTCACACTCACATCGATTCCCCTTTCGTATTTCCCTTCTGTACTCCGCTTCGCCGCAATCCTCTACGTGCCCTTCGCCCTCTTTCTCACCCTCTCTCCTTTTCTACCTCTCTTTGGTCTTCATCATCTTCTTTCAACCTTTTCTTCGTCTTCTTTCCGACCTTTCCTTCGATCGCCATTTCCTCCCTTTTCGTTCTCTTCTTTCTCTCTATTTTTCCCTGTTACCAGCCAAAGACGGTTGCTTCTTCTTTCTATTATCTTTTTTTTTTGTCTCCCTTGCCTCGTCTCCTTTTCCGTTCTTTTTTTCCTTTCTTGCTTCACGCACGATTATCTACCAACCCCGGTCTGAACTTTAAGAGGTTTAGGTAAGATAAATGACGTTTCAAATGACATTACCTTCCAGAAAAAATAATGCTATTATTTGATAATAAGGAAGAATCCATAATCGGTAGGTACTAGTTTCGAAAGTCGATCGATCATCGCAACTCGGTTGTTATTTGCCGAGGTCCTCGCTAATTTTATTTAGAAATCCGTCGTATTTAATTTCATCGAAGACTCACATTGTCAGATAAAAATATTACCTCGTCGTTGCTTGCTAAAAATCAAAGAAAAAGAGAGAAAATTTCAACCATCAACGCGAATTTTTCTCTCGCTATTACAATTCGGTTTCACGATCATGTTTTTCGCCGGTCTCTGAATATTCCGAGGTGAAAGCGAGCGCTCATTCAAACGCATCGTTCGTAAAACAATTTTAATTTCAGTCGAAGATATTCACGAACGACACGACCATCGCTTTTCCAACCGATTCGCCCTCTCTCTCTCTCTCTCTCTCTCTCTCTCTCTCTCTCTCTCTCTCTCTCTCTCTTTTACTTTTGTTTCGACGTATCGCGCTTAGCAAGCGTTTAGATCGAAAGGATCGAGAGAACATTAGAGATCGCTCGGATTCCATCTCGTTATTCGAGGAATTTTAATAGAGCACGTTTGATTGTGCCGTTGGCATATAGAACGCTCGAGGGTGGTGTAAATTGCATGATCAATTGAGACAGACGAACAGACAGAGGGAGCGAGAGAGAGAGAGTTCTTCAATCGTGAATTTATCTTTGGCAAAAGTCTTTTAAAATACATCATTTCAAAAAATCGAAAGTTGGATCCTGCATTATGCAAAGAGAAAAAACTTTTACTCTACGGTTGATCGTGAAAATTTCGAACAGTTTAAGAGATTTTTCGATAAAGTTGGTTTTATTTATCGTGTACTTGATGAATCAAGTGGACCATTTGTAACTGAAAATCTGTCGATCGCATGCGCAGCCATTGTTTCAAGGACTTGTATATAATTTGGATATATAATTTGGATATATTGATAATATCATAAGGCATAGGCTGTATTTCAAGTTTTAAAAATAGTCGCCGTTGTATCGTCTCTCGATACGTTTATAACGCTTTATTACGCCTCAAACTCGTTTTGCTATCTTACCGTTTTTGTCTTATTCTATATCGATTTTCTTCTTATTCTCAAAATAATCCGAAACGACGGTACATTCTGCAAAAGCATCTGCGGCTTTTGAATCTAATTTCAAGTTGGTTTTTGTTTTTCGTTTTCAAATTCGCTTTATTGTTCAGGAACGAAAATAGTTAAAATTCTTTATTAGACGTGCGTACCTGTTTCGTCTGCGAGACTTTGGCCATTGAAATAAAATTGAAGGAAAATTGAGACGGAGAGAAGAGAAGGAAAAGGAAGCTATAGTAGTCGAGAGAATAGGGCAATAATATCGCATAACGTTTGAGAATGTATATTTTCGTCGGCAGCGCGGAAATTTCTCTCCGTTGGCTCTAACAGGCAACGTTTTTCCAAGAAAAACAAATAGAGGAAGAATGAGGATAAAGGTCTTCACTGGAGAACGTGTCCGGCGTTTGCAACTTTGAAAATCGTTATGAAAATAATTTCGCAACTTTTATCATGTGAATTGGATTCGGCCTATTAAAAAATTAGCACTTCTTATTCGATCATTGTTCGGCAATCATTCAGCTGTGGACTATCTAAAATGATTAATATACATCGGTCTATACGTAGGCGTGTAGATCGAAGAAATAAAATAAAGTTAGGTCAGCGCGTACATAGGATAAACGTAGGATAAAAGCATCTTGGGAGCTTATGCGTATCTAACGCGATTGCCGTTACGAAGCTTGATATCGGTACGCATTAGTACCCAACTATTAACGTCGAATGGCTCGATCGTAATTACAGCAGGCTCGTGCGGCGTCGGACTGCGTAGGTACATCGTATGTAGGGCTATCGGTAAACGGAGCGATATAACTGGACATCCGATACACACCAAACGCTGACCCGAATCATCATACTCGATTGATTTCACGATTCGACGTCTGTTATCCGACGTGACAGTACGCGATGCGTCGTCTTAATCGCGTTCTTTCATTATTTTCGTTTGTCCTCAACGTTACGTGCCAACCTGATCATATTTAACCGAGCCTACGTATTGAAATGGAACGTCTTTTTATGTATGTATATATATATATATTTATTAAGGTTATATTGTACTTTTGCTTGCAGGTGCCATTTTCGAACAGGGTACGGACGAGATCCAGTCTGCCTTCAGGTTCGCCATGTTCAACCACAACAAGAACACAACCATTCGAAAGTTTGAGCTACAAGCCTTCGTTGACGTTATTAACACAGCGGATGCCTATAAACTTTCCCGTCTGAGTGAGTAAAAAGAATTTCACGTGATCCCGGCAAAACGGAGCTTTTTGTACGAGGTGAAAATGACAGCGTATACCTACGATTAGGGAGATAACAAAGGTCCGATACAGTATGTTATCTTGAAATTACTCGCAGATTCAGGGATGGATTGCATCTGCAACGTTTGCAACGTTGCGGTCGTTCGACGATAGTAATCTCTTTCTCTCTCTTTTCGTTTTTTTTTTTTTTTTAATCGAAAAAAAGAACGAAACACGGTCTTCGTCTTTGTTCGGCACGAGCGAGGTCTATACAAGGAAGACTCATTTTTGCGTCTCATCGCGCACTGTGAAAATCGATTTCAGAGCGTTTTGTTCCCTATATCAGGTAGGAAGAACCCGAGGGAATGTCAGAAATGCGCCAATGGCCGAGTTATCAACAATAGCCGAGACGCGACGGTACGTGCCGGAAAGCGGGCTTCGACGCACAGAGGACTATTGAGTCCTCCACGAATCTGTCCATTGCGAAATAACCAATGTTTCCTTCTATTTACCTCTAACGGAGATTCGTATCTTTGCGTCCTTTTTCATTTCTCACCTACGTGAGTAGATATACGAGACGTAACGCGGAGACGGGAAAGAAATGGAAACGGAAAAAGTCCTTTGCAAATTAATAATAAATTGGTACGCGGCCAATGCATCTCGTTATTAGTGCCAAACGTGATCGATATGAAACTTTGATCGTGTCCGTCAACATTCCGCTAAATAATACTCAATAAATAAAAAAAAGTTTGTCGTTGTATGAATCATATATATTACTTGTAATAAAATATCGATTAAAGTCGTACCTTTGACGATATTGATCATATTAACGCTTTAAAATTCATACGTGAAACAACATTGGCGAGTACTCGTTGAATAACCATTGGAGAAAATAAAAGCATTGTCAAGGGCATTATCCTTTTCGTAATCGTTTATTGGAAGAATAATCTTTCGAGAGAATGTAGTATTAACGAAGGCATGCATTTATCATTGTAAAGCTAAAAATAAAAGATAAAACGGATCGATACGAATTCTTTATTGAGAAGAACATTGGCAAGAGAGGCGATTGGACATTTTATTGAATTAATTTGAAATTACTTTTTGAAAATAGCGTAATGTTGATGGAGCGAATTTATAAAACAAAATTATTTTCCATTCCGGACATATTGGTTAACGAAAGAAAAATCGGGGATAGGTTGAATATCAAGACGGAAAGTAAATGGAACGCGATTGAATATGACGAGAGCGCATCTTTATCGGTCCTCGACCCCTTCGCTTTTGCGTATACTCCCGAGGTATTCCTTCCATATAACGAGGTCGTCACGAGATTGCTTCGTACGTTCTCTCGCCGAAGCTGATAACGTTCGCGATCGTGCACCTGTCCCTTCTCTTGCGCGTCTTTTATGAATAGGCGTGAAACGTCGATAACAATTTCAACGACGCAACTCAACCCAAGGGGTTAGATATCTTTGATCTTCGACCGGTGAAATCTTTCTTTGTCTCATGTCGACGTGCATTCGGGTTTGAAAACATTTCCGACGAGTCTCAAAGTATCCTCGTTCGATCACGAATTCGCTATAATAATCGTACCGTTCTAACTCGATCTACGTCTATTCGTTCTACTTCATTTATCATTGTTACATGGTAATTATAATCGTCTCAATCTCAAATATCTTATTGTTAGTCGGTGTTATTGATCGTGTCGAAATCGATTATATATCATTAAGGGTATTATTAGAGCGCAGTTTGCTATCAGATAGGACGATAACATCGATCGACAAGGGGTGTATTTGTAACGTTGGGCGGATCCGTAAGCGACATCCGTGAGTATTTGGGCCAAGTCCAACGGATATGGAGATCGTGGCGCGTTACGGTACTTAGCAAAGCTGCGCTAATTGTATTAATGCTAGCTGTTCCCCCCTTACAACCCTCAAAGCCAGAGGCCACTACTGTTATAATCCCATAGCTGGTCGCGTTTACTACCTGCTAAATCTATTGTCGAAACGCGCGTTGCTTAAATTGCTTTCACCGGATGCTCCAGCTAAACGATGACTGCCCTTCTCGTTGGCAACTCTCTTGGCTTTTCTCTCGCTCTAGCGCTCTATTTTATTTCTATTCTTTCATTTCTTCGGGACGATATCATAACTCATTCTTCCCAAGGAGTATTCTCCTGGATTTCCACTGACGTTCGAGTACCATTCGTTAATGCTTTCCTCTTAAACGTTTATATTATTTGTATCTCTTTTTATCTTTTATTTAACATTGTTCTTTCGCATAAAAAGTACAGAAGAAAGTAGGAGGGAGAGAGAGAGAGAGAGTTAGAGAGAGGGGGGTTGGGAATGAGATAGTAGAAAAGAGAGAAAAGGGAAAGAAGATAAAAAGCCAGGAGGATATACGTATATAGAAAGATAGAGAGCGGTGGCCGCGGGGAGAAGAAGGCACGAGAATATTGTGGTAGAAGGAAGAAAAGAGAAAAGAGAACGAAAGAGCCGAGTTAGAAAAAGGATGGTGGAAGGACGAAGGACGAGGACGATGACTGGCGCTGCGAAAAGCGACGACTATGTAGAGGGTAGCGTGGAAAGGGTATTCAGGGGAGAAAAAAGCTGGAAATACCCTCGGGAGCCCTCGGCAGATTTATGCCGGCCCTGGCTGGCTGGATGGCGTGCTGGCAACCTGGCACCTCATATACATTCCTTTTCTCTCTCTCTCTCTCTCTCTCTCTCTCTCTCTCTCTTGCAGTTTCCAGGCGTCGAGATTTCTGGTACTGGCCAGAGAAAGTTACCGCATAGCCATAGGATCCCCTACAGGATATTATACGATATGCACCGAAAGTTGATAGATGACTATTACGTTCCGTTAAGACGAGCGTACCACTTTCCGTGGATATAGCATCTTTGATGTGATTTTTCAGCGGGGGAAAAAAACTACTTCTTTCCAAAGAGCCAAACAAGAATTATAGAACGTTCTAATATATCTCGCGCTCGAAAATAGACTCGATAATAGAGGAAAGAAATGAAAATGGATAATAGAGAAAAAGACGAGGATAGTACGCGTATCGTGACTCGAGGACGTTGCGTACATTTTTAAAGAAAATATCTCTGGATGGAGAAACTATGAGCCGTAGTCGTTACGCTTTCGATTTAAAACTTTCGAATTAGATTGCAAGTCGCCGTGGTTCTTTTCTTTCTTCGTGCTATTTAAAAGTTCACAAGCTACTTCTTTGCTTTCGAGAAAACGCGAGGGAAAAAGAGAAAAAAAGTGTGAGAGAGGGAGAGAGATTTCAGGCTCAAGTGTCAGAACGAAAAGATAATTAGATTCGATTGGTTTTTCTCCCGATTTATTGTTAATCGTAATATCGTTCCGAGAAACTCTCTCGCACAGGTACTCGTCTCTTTCTCTTTTTCGCTACAAATATCTTACCGTGCAATCGCGATGAAACGTAGACGCGAATAAACAGATAGTATCGATGCTCCAAGAATGCCAATATTACTTCAATTGCGATATAACAGGAGTATGGAGAGAGAGAGAGAGAGAGAGAGAGAGAGAGAGGATTAGATGAAACACGAGAATACGTATTTTACGTTCCATAGACACGTAGATACCATCGAGATGTTAAAGATCGATCATTGTATTTCCCCGCGATATCGTTCCTGATACTTTATAAAGCCTATATGCATCTATACACACACATACAATTTTCCGCGAGACAATATAATCGTTTACTTAAACATTGCGCCCTCGTATTTCCTATTCCTTTTTTCCCTCCCACTTTCCCACACATTTTCGACATCTCCCGTGGGAGTATCGAGGTGGTCGAAGGTAGGTATTACCCGAGAGGGATTTGGATAAACTATGGATAGACCGTAAAATTGGCGAGCGATCGTCACGTAAATCGTTCGAGAGAGTAAAGAGAGAGAGAGAGAGAGAGTAGATCATAGAGACTCGTTGCGGTCTCTAGAACCGATCGATGCTTAAATATGCATTTATCTCTCTTTCTCTTTAAAGCACTCTCAAAGGAACAGAACAGACCTATCCATCGCAGAAATTCAAAGTTGTACCTTGCCTTGCGATCGATACGAAGTTGAGCTGAACATCGAGCTTACGACTCTCAAAGTTCAATTATTGACTCTCAATAATCAACCTTCTTTCTTCATTCGATTTTAGAGCATAATCGGTAACGTCAACGAATCCAATATTTCTCTATTTCTTTTTTGCTCCCTCTCACTCTCTCGCGCTTTTCTAGGGAGGCCAATTTTTTATCGCTCGCAAACTTTCTTAATTTGTACCAAGTCTGTGACGGACTAATTAATATTGATGATTGAAGAGTGCTCACCTTGTTCGGTGATCAATTTTCATCGGCATTAATAAACGGAGCTTTTCGTGAGAAAAGAAGAGTCGGCCATGCCGAAGCTTTCGTCTCAGGGGAGCGTCGACGAAGCCTGGAATAAGTACCCAAAGCAAAGTTAAAGCTAGCTCGCTTTAAAAAGCGAGAGTCCAATCGCTCCTGTAAAGCTATCGATAAGGGCGTGCCTCTCGCTTTTAAAACGGTTAATTACGTTAAGTGAGTCCAATCATTTCGTTCGCTTCACGAAGAAAATAGGGCTAGTGCAAAGTCGAGCTAAATCGATAATATCCTATTAACAAAGTATACCTTTTTACCGTTCCCTTCGATCTGAAATGAGCATTAATCTGTGATGGCGTTTTAAATGGATTAAAAAAAGAGGTTCTCCTGAAGAGTGAAACTCGCGATTACTTGCATTAATTATCGCTTGTATAAAAATGGAAGAGAGAAATGTCTATATATTTATATGTCTATTATATGTCTATATATATTATG